CACCCCCCTTTACACTTCCACTGTTCCCGGTGAAGTTTCTCTTTGACCCTCAGGCCTGCCTGTCAGCCTGGTCCTGGGGATATGAAAGGCAGGGGTGGGTTGGGGCTGAGAGTGGTGGGCGGGCCGAGGAGGTGGGGTGCAGGCAGGCCAATCTGGGCAGGGCCTTGTGAGCTTTTCAGGAAGTCTGTTACACCCGGTGGGCGCTGCTGTTTCTCAGGGGCAACCCTGCCAGGCCGTTCACCCCTCCTTCCTCATCTCTCCTCGAGCTCTCTCCTTGAAATCGATGGCACATTTCACACATCCTATTTGTTTTGGTCCCCCTCTCGCCTCCTCCAAAATCTACCCTGGAAGTGCAGGCACGTTTTGGGTGGAGGCTGCGGGAAGCAGCAGACACTTGGACAAGGTCATTCAGCCATGCTTTCTCACAATGTCCCCAGACCTTGGCTGCTCTCCTCCAAAAGACTTCGCCTTTTCCAGATACAAGTCTTTGCCCTCTTTCATCTCTCTTGCCTTGCTCTTTCTCTTCTGCCTGCAAACATCTCTGGAAAGACCTTGTAATAGAGTCGTGGGAACTTGGCTCTTGGTGGCAGCTGGGTAGCCGGGAACTTTGACTTCTGTAAGCTTCAGTTTCTTCCTATGGAAAAATGAGAGTGATACTATGGATTGATCAGCATGGTGGAAATAAGTTGCGCTGGTGTTTGTAAAACCCCCAGCAAAAAGCATGGCAGCTAGTAAATAAATAAAACTCCCTGCCCCCCATCCTCAATAAATACATCAAAATAAAACCCTACCATCGCTAGGTTCTGCCACGTTCTCCAGCTGAAATCCAAGAGGGACTCCCAGCTGGAGACCTCCCTGCAGTCACACTCGGCCTTTCCTTTCTCCCCAGCACCACTCTGTTCTTCCACCTGCAACATCTGATCAAGCAGACCCTCTTTTTTAATTTCAGCTCCTCCTGCTCCGCAAGTCTTTTCGGACTAGATCAATGCTTAAACACACTCAAGACTATCTCACCAAAAAGTAAAAAATAAAAACACCCCAAAGAACAAAACCCCTCCTTCTTTCCTGACCTATTTCCAGATGGCTATGCTGTCTGATCTTTCTCTTCTCTTCTTGCGAGAGACATCTGCATAACTGTTTTTACTTCCTTCATTTACCACTACACTTACCACAGAGTGGCTGGGGGCCCCCCACCCCCTAACACTGTCCCTGCCACTGGCTGCTGAGTCTTGTCACTGACTGCAGCGACCACTCTCAGACGGTATCCAGCTTGACCTCTGGGTGGCACTGGGCACAGCGGCCACTTCCTTTCGTAGCACTGTGTTGGTCCTTCATCTCTTGGGCTCTATCTTACCAGTAGGCTCAGTGGTCTTTAGTGTTATCATTGCTATTTGACACTAGTCTTACTGAACCATTTCTGGTTACCGAAAGGAACTTTCTCAGTCCTAGGCCTTTGCACATGTGGCTCACCCTGTCCCCCCACAATTCTCTTCTCTGTCTGCCCCTTTCTTCTCTCACTGAGCTTAGAAGCTTCTCCCTCCTGCAAGTCTTCCCTTTCTCCCTCAGGTCTGGCTCTGGCGCCCCTCCTGGGCACTTTCACAATAGCATCCTACTTTCTATCCTATGACTTAACATCTACCCCATGATTACCATGATTATCTTTGCTTGGCTCAAATCACCCTTTCACTGTATGTTTTTGGAGAGCTTACTTGTGCCTGTTTTTAGCATCTAGCAGAATGCCTGGGTCACCTAGTGAATGAATGAATCCATGAATCAATGAATGAACAGAGATGGCATTATTGCTGCATTGGATTAGGACTTAGCATGCCTTATATATTTTTAATGCTACCTATAATTCCTTGCATAAGTTCGGCCAAGCCAATTCTCTCAGCATCGGTTTCCTCATCTATAAAATGAGAGGAAGTCAAGCAACATCCCTGAGAGCACTCTCGCAGGTGTTATCTCTTTGGTTCGCACACAGACCCAGCAAAGCCGAGTCTGAGATGAAAAGAAAGAGTGTCTGCACCTTGCACGGTGGCAGGCCAGTTTCCTTAGCTGGGTTATCTTCCCAATACCATGGAGAGATGCAGACAGGTAATTTTCTTTCTTTATCTGTAACTAGATTCAGCTTGCTCACAAACCCCTGTTTTGGCTTGATGAAAAGCAAAACAGAATCGAACACAAACAATGAACTTGAGCTTTCCCATTCAAGGACTTTAATCTCTGCTGGTTCAAGAACAACAGGCTCTTCCATGTTACACCTCTATGTCACTTTGCGTTCACTCTGTTACGTAAATGCATGGTGTTTGGGGGTCCTCCCCCCAACATTTCATTCCCTCTCTCTGAATGAGGTGGAAAGACAGCAGGGGCAGGTCCCTGGCCCGTGGTCCTCAGGTCCTCCCTGTCCATGGCTCTTGTCCTGTTGTCACGTGTGGACTGCTCACCACTCAGAGGCCACCTCGGCTGTCCGGGCACTGTCTCCCCAGAGGCTTTCACAGGTCCAGATGTTTTTCTATCCAGCTGCTGCCTGCAGTCTCTGCTGTGGCTGTGGTCTCCTGGCAGGTGGGCTAGCTCTCGAATCCGAGTGTTTTGGAGCCTGTGGAAACTTCTGGGCCTCCTCTGTGAGAACTTGGAAGAGGCAAGGGCGGCAAAAAAGAGCATCTCAAGGGATTTTATGAGCAGAGATTTTTTAATTTGTTTTGTGACGTATCCTGAGACTTTGAACAGGACGTTGTACATTAGCAGTTTTAACTGAATCGTTGCATTGAATGAATGATTCGCAGGCCATCTCTCTGCATGACTGTCACCACCTCACTGTTTCACGCTCCCTCTGATTATCGTTGTATCGGGGTTTCTACTGCCTCCTCTCTTCCGAGTTCCATGTACCAACGCAGCTTGGTGAGGAGGTCCCTGAGCAAAGCTGTCATTTCAGTCTAGACTCTTACTCTCCTCCTGCTTCTCCAGCGTAGGAAGAAGTTTACTTCCATCCTGCCCAGTGGGGAGCAAGCTTACATCCTTTTTTGCTTTCCCCATTTTCCATGTCTTACAGATGAAGTGACCACATGTCCTGTTTTTCGCCTGTGGTGGCCATGGTTTATGCCCACTGTTCCCATGGGGTTAACAGAAGTGCCCCCCTCACTCTTAGAAATGTCCTGGCTTGGGCAATGAATTCATGGCCACCCCCTACTTTTGTTTGACACGTTCAGCTCATACCTCCGAATTTAGATTTCTTTGTGATTTGGAATTTAGCTTTGAGAGTCCCATCAAAACCCCTTTTCTCTCTCAAGTTTCGGGCTCCTGCGTTTAAAAGTCTGGGTTTTATGGCTATTGTTTTAGCATTGGCAGTAAAATGTCTCCATTGAAAGACAGGTAAACAATGACTTTTTAATCAGGAGAAATAAAAATGTTTCAGAAGAGTGAAAGCAAGCGCTGAAATTCAGCAGCAGCATGGCGCCACCAATCCGACAAATCGTCGCAGGCAGAGTGCTGTTCTGCTACTTCCTGGTGCATCTCGGATGCTGGAGCAGGTCATGCCACCATCCAGCATTAAGAACTCTTAACATGCTGTCCTCATAATGAATTTTAGGAAGGAAGTAAAACATCATAGTGGGAGTCACTTTTAATCAGTGCACTGACTTTACTCTAAGTTGTATCTGGCCTTCCTCTGAGGGAAGGTCTTTGGGCTCCTGGTGGCCAGGATGTTATAGCACAGCTCATAGAAGGCTACCAGCCCTGGCTGGTGTGGCTCAGTGAATTGAGTGCTGGCCCGCAAACCAAAGGGTCACTGGTTGGATTCCCAGTCGGGGCACATGCCTGGGTTGCAGGCCAGGTCCCCCGATGGGGGTGCATGAGAGGCAACCATACATTGTTTCTCTCCTTTCTCTCTCCCTCCCTTCCCCTCAGTCTAAAAATAAATAAAATATTTTTAAGGCTACTAATGTTATTCATACAGAGGAGAGTGGTAAGGGTTAAAATAATTCATAAAAATATTTTAAAGGAAAAACATCAACTGAACGCACAGGCTATCAATGAATACTGTTTCCTTCTCCAAATCTACAGCTAATTCTGCTCCTCTTATTCCAACTGGAGGCTTTGTTTGAATACAAGTGAAAGGGTGTATTCTTTGCCATTCAGAACAAAAATGACAATTAATGTTCATTAAAACACATGATTTGAAGGCAAGATCTTTGAAAATAAGTGATCGGTGTTATCTAGGGGTGTCCAACCTTTTGGGGTCTCTGGGCTACCTCAGAAGAAGAGTTGTCTTTGGCCACACATTGAATACATTGTGACATGTAATCACACACAAACACACACAAAAACTCATAACGTTTTAAGTAAATTTATAGTTTTGTGTTGGGCCACATTTATAGCCATCCTGAGTCTCATATGGCCTGTAGGCTGCAGGTTGGACACCTAAAAATACAGTGCCTCCAAGATGTTCCAAAAGAGGCTGGGAGTTGCCTCCCTGTAGTAAAATGAATGGCATTCCCAGCTGAACTTCGGTGTTCACTTTCAGACATGACTCTGGTAGAAGTGAAGGGTTTGCCCTGAGGAATTCACACCCTGCCCTAGTTTATTTCATAATAGATTGTTCATGCAGGGTGGTTGATTTGGATTAGGGTAAGGAGTGGGTTATATGTCTTAATTTGGCCTAATTAGAAACACAGGCTCACCAGTAGACCCAGGGGGCAGCCAAGTCCTAATAGGGGACAGGCAGTGACCTCTGAGGGCTGATTGGAAGTGACCAGGCCTTCCCATAGCCGTTATTACTGTGTTTTCCTACCTATTTCTCCTTAACATCACTGTGATCCTTGACTGAGAAGGAGGCTCGCTTCCGAGTACCTGCGTGTCTAAGATCATAAAGGGGATACAGAGGAGCAGAGGGGGCTTAGACAGGGCCACTCTGACATTATTACTACCTTTCTCTCTTTCTTCTGCAGTTCTTGAGCTTAAGCTTCTTCCTATCTCTTCCTTTCCATCTCCCTCCACATCCACAGATGGGGTGGCCGCGTTCCGCGCCTTCCTGAAGACGGAGTTCAGCGAGGAGAACCTGGAGTTCTGGTTGGCCTGTGAGGAGTTCAAGAAGACCAGGTCCACTGCAAAACTAGTCTCCAAGGCCCACAGGATCTTTGAGGAGTTTGTGGATGTGCAGGCTCCGAGGGAGGTGTGTTGGCAGAGGCCAGCGTCTTCTCAGACCTCTGTCCGTGGCTCCTGGCTCACACCTCCCTCTCTGTGGGGGTTTGAGCTGGGCATGATGGGCACTTCCTTTTGAACTGAGCCTCAAGGCTCGGATGGCTAGTGGTGGAAAGGGGATCGTTTTGGGGGCAGAGCCCAGGGTTTTTAGAAAAGGGGCTCTATTATGAGTGCTTTAGCTGTCTCTCAGTTAACCATTGCCCTCAGGAACTGTGTCTATAGAAGGACTCTGCAAGTTTGGACGCCATGGAGTCCATGTGAGTTTTCCTAGTGGGAGGCAGCGTGGCTTAACGGAATGAGCCTCCCTTTGGAATCTTGTTCCAATCTCAGCTCCACCACTTACTAGCTACGTGATCTTGGTCAGATTACCTAGCCTCTCTGAATCACATTTTCCCCGATGTAGAACGATATAACATCACCTTCCTTTCAAGGCTACTCTAAGTATGAGGGATAACGCACCTATTGAATATTTGTCACTGCTCATTAATGAGTAATTACAGTCATTTATATAATTTTATGATCACTTATTATAATTACTTATAATAAGAAAATGAAATCAATGTGCTGTTGGTCTGAAACATTAAAGAGGCATTTACTTGGGAGGGTTTTACAGAAGAAAAATATTTGCTGCCAATGAGCTCAGGTGCATTACATGCCTAGGACTCTTCAATTAGGCTTTGGTGTGGGCTGCGGGAGGTCTTTGGCCAGTGGCCAGCATGCTGTAGGCTTCTTATGATGCTGCTTGGAGCGGAGGTGTGCATTCCGAGCACAGTCTCTGTCTCCTGGAGCATTTGTTTTCTTAGGATTAAGAAAGGGCAAGAGGGCAAGCTTACTGTAGGGAATGAGCATTCCTACTGTCTCAAGTCTAACTCTGCCTGATATTATAAAGCTTCTGGATTAAGAATTAATCGAACTGGGGTTTTGCCCTGGCTCTGTTGCTAACTTTCCATATTACTTTAGACCAGCTTTTTAGTATCTCTTTTCTTTGGTGTCTTTATCTGTAAATTGGAATGAGGACTAGCTGGTCTTCAGACATCAGAGGATTCTTTCTGGAATCAATAGGGATGACCCCATGAGAATGGTTTGGAAAGCATGACTAACCTTACCTCTGTAAGATGCAACCATTGATTATTACATAGTTAGGACGGCCATGGAGAGCCTGTGACCATGCTCTCTCTTTGTGTCTCCAGGTAAACATAGACTTCCAGACCCGAGAAGCCACGAGGAAGAACATGCAAGAGCCATCCCTGACTTGCTTTGACCAAGCCCAGGGAAAAGTACACAGCCTCATGGAGAAAGACTCTTACCCCAGGTTCCTGAGATCCAAAATGTACTTAGATTTGCTGTCCCAAAGCCAGAGGAGGCTCAGCTAGACCTCAGATGGGGACTCTTGGACATCACCGGCTTTCCCCGCCCCCTTGCTGCCAAGACCATATTCTAATGTGAAATGTCATAGATGTTCAAAAGCAGAGGCATTTAGATTGGGAGGCTAGGGGTGGGGAGGGGATGCAGGGCCATTCTGAAGTGTGATGCAGTCACCAGAACTGGGGCTCTATTTCACTTACCCTCGGCTGTGGTTCGGTCAGCGGTCGCACCTTGCTGTAGTCACCGTTCTCTGGGACCGTTCTCTGGGTCAGCAGCTTGCTCTCCATGCCTGGGGTTATCTCCACTGAGAAGGCGGATTCGCTAGGCCGGGATAACCTGTACATAACACAAACGCACTCCCCACCCCTTCCACACCCTCCTCAGGTAGGATTCCTGACTCTCTCGTGTGCCCTATACCCCTCGGAGGAATGGTGAGAAGACAGGCTCACTTCTGAGCTTTGCTGTCGCAGTGTCCCAGCCAGTCCCAGGTGCTGGGACCTCACAGCTTAGCGAGGTCTCCGTGGAATCCCAGGTTTCTAGCACTCTCATGGACAGGTGGCCTCTGGAAGAGGGGCAAACTCCACGGAGTCAGCTGTTTCTTCCATTTCCATAGGACCAGGGTGAAAATCTGTGCTCGCTGCCCATCTTAGTCTAGGAAATTCACGAGACCCCCCCCCCCAGCCCACCCCTTCAAGACCATTCCAGAAAAGGTCTTGGGAGATGTCCTTCATGACTTGTGATGTGGAGCTACTCTTAAGAAAGATACAGCTTGCACATCTTCCTAAATCGTACCAAGAAGTTTCCCAGAAGCGGAGCGACCAGGAAGTGTAGCAGCAGTACGCCCTGTGCAATGGGGCGCCACATAACCTTTCTGCTGCTTAGTGTACCCTCCGCCCTCGCCTCCTGTGCCATCACACCCCCCTCCCCCGATCTGTTAGAATGACAGACAGCTTGGTGAAGAATCCCCATAGCATGGACAGCTCTCATGGTGCCTAGTACTCTCCCTGCCTCTCTCTGTCCCTCCTTCCATGCAGGTCATGTAATTACGATGGGGGAGAATGGGGACTTAGGCCATAACTCTTTTCCAGCTTGCTTCCTGGGAGCGTGCTTCCTTAGAAAGGTCCTTCTCATGAGGGCCACCTTGCCTGTTCAGCAGCTTCCTTCTTGAACTCTGACCTTTCGGGATTGAACATGAGGCTAAGAAGATCACTGTGAACATTTGGTCGTGGAGAACCTTCCTAAAATGCTTTCATGGAACCCCGGGGCTGCTCTTGGAAATATGTCAGGACACTCTTGGAGGATGAGTGAGACACATGGAACCTACCCTAGCTGCCCAGGAAAAAGCTGACTTTGGCACAGGGCTGAAGTGCCAAGGAAATGAATCCGCAGTAAAGAGACCAGCAAGTGGAAGAGGATCCTGCAAGAGGCTAGTTTCTGGGTGAACTGAGTCACGGAGACCATGGCAAAGGAGCTTTCGGGACGATTCAAAGGCGATGGATTGGGAGGCGTGGCAGACCTCTCAACCTTCCAACCTGACTCAGTGGAACAGCATCCGGAGCGCAGGTGGCGGAGAATTGGGCTGAAGTACTCTCCTCTCGTGGGGTGACGGGCCCTTTCAGACCTGCAGGGTAGGAAGGCGGTTCCAGTGTTTGTCTTCCTGTCTAGAACTTAGTGAATCTCTTCCTTCCTTGGCTACAGCCAGACAAGGCCCGGAGAGCTCTCGAGTCCCACTGGTATGGGGTATACTTCCCTGAGCCGTGAGTGAGGTTGTGCGTGTCTGTATGAACCACCAAGGAGAAAGAGGGCACTTGCCTCCTAGCTCTCACCCTGAAGGATTCCTGCACGTGTGGAACTTCATGGTTAGGAACTCCGAAGACTCAAATGGGTACTCCTGACTATTCCGACTTAGATCAGGTAGTATTCCTCTGGCCCCACTGGTGAAAAAAAAAAATCATCCTTAGCTAGCTAAAGCTGCCAGAATTAATGTAATGATAAAATTCTTGAACAGGGTATTTTAAACATTGTTTACATATGAATAGTGCATCCGCTGCCAACTCTGCTTTCGGATGGGGGGTGCAAAGAAACTGGAACAGCACGGAGTTATGGAAATCCGAATCGTTCTGAGAGGGGCCTTTTTACCACTTCCACAATGCCCAGGAGAGGAGTCTGAACAGGAGTGTCGTGCGGTGGCCTCACTGGGGCCCTAAAGTTCTTGCCACCTCTCAGCGGAGTGAAGGCTACAGATGGCGGTTTTGCGGTGCCTGGCGACTGCCTCCCACGATAGGGAGGCATGAAGGACTGAGGTTGGGTATCCTGAGTCTTGTGCCGCTGAGCGAGGGTACGTGGGCGTGTGTAGAGGAACAAGACAGCTATATTTACAGTACTCCCATGGAGTGTGTGCAGGCACGTGTGTGCGTGTGAGACAACTGTGAGCATTAGACGAGTAATCACGGAGATGACCTGCCCGGGGGGTGGGGGTGGAGCCCCCCTCACACCTTTCTGTCCCGCTTCCCACAGAAGGCACTGAGCTCCGCGCTCTGGTGCCCACTTTCAGGCACTTTGGTCATGCCAACCCAGACTTTGGTCTGTGATGAAACAAAGAGAAATGTTTACAACATTTAGAGCAATATCCAAGCATACCTCATCCCCGACCTTCTGCCTCCCCGGTCCTGCCTGCTGTCCCATTTCCTCTTCCACAGCCCTCATTGCCGACCTGGGTGGGCAGCCTCAGGGGCCGCTTCTTCCATGTAACGTCTTCCTGTGCTGCTCCGGCCGGCTTATGCTTCAGGCTGCCTTCTGGGCTCGAGGCTCGCTCTGTGCCTGGGATCTTTGAGGACCCGAGGCAAGTCAGGGCCGTGGGCCGGGTAAATCTGTGACTTGAGGACTGTTCTCCATTTTGGGTGGCCTTTCAGCCCCCTTGAGTTAAACTGTGTGGAATTTCCTGTTGCCCTTGGCAAACCAAATAGAACGTGATTAGTGACAGCCATTCGTAGTCCGGGCACCGCTGAAGTGAGGCAGGGCCCTCTGAGCAGTATTTATTATTAAATTTGAGCATTGAGGAATACCCCGCCCCACTCCGGAAAGTCTGTAGCTAGTGCTGATTCCCAGGTCCCACACTCAGCGATGCTAATCCAACAGACCTGGGGTGGGACCCAGAAGTCTGCATTTTTAATAAGCTCCTAGGTGCAGAGTAGGCCAGACTTTGAAAACAGATGGTGTAAGACAGAGGCTCTCATTCTTGGCTGCTCCTTGGGATTACCTGTGGAACTTTTAAAAACCCAAATGTCCAACCTGGTCTTACCCCAGAACGGCTCGGCCTTGGGACCCAAGGCATTCGTCACTGTTAAAGCTTCACCAGTGATTCCAAAGTACAGGTGAGGGTAGGAAGGGCGGACCTGAGGAGTGAGGAGGAGCGCAGCTGAGTGGATGGCACCAGCGTGCAGGCCTGGAGCACACCCAGACGCAGATAAGCACGGTGACCTGGAACGTGCCCACCCGGACTCTGATTGGTGAGGTGGCAGCTTCTGTGCCCTTTCAGTCTTGCCCCTTGGAGAGACAAGCATCATGTTTCTGCCCCGGGTACATGCATTGCTGGGCAGCAGCTATGCCGAACGTGGGGCTAAGGAGGACTTAGTTAAGAGAGGTTTTTGTCACGCCTCCGGGTCTTATTAATAGTGCTTCCTCCCAGCTGGCCTCCTGGGCTGTTTCCCCTGTTTGTTTGTTTTGGTGTGTTCTTATATTTGGCCATTTCATGTTAGACTGTGCCTCTGTCCCCAAGGCCATGCAAGGTGGTAGCTGGAACTCAGGTGGTGGGTGAAGAAGGCATGCAGTCGTTGAACAGCAGTAGCATAACTTCCAGATTCCTCAGAGGAGGGTGTCGCGTCCTGGGAATATTGAGCTTTTCTAGGCTTTCTTTTCCAAGGCCACGGTGGGGTTCCGATTCCTGCTCTAAGCCCTCATCATTACCCCTTTGGTCTCACATGGGACGGACAGCTGGAAAGATGATTTTACTCTCTGGTGCTCTCCCCAGAACTTGCTGCTCCGAATCAACCGAAGCTGTGAGGTGGTGTCCTGCCCAGGTGGCAGGCCTGGCCTCTGGGTGCAGGCCCTGGGCACCTCTCTCAGCGGGGCAGGGCTGGGGTGTCCGGGTACTCCAGGCTCTGGGCTGTGAGGGGAAGGTGCGAACCCTTTGTGCTGAGAGCTTGGCGAGGGTGGGGCTGGGAAGAAAAGAGGGAGGGGGTGGGGGAGACAAGCAGCCACTGTGATGTCCCTTCCAGAAGGAAGAGGTGACAAGAGGCACATTTGGAAGCAGAATGGCCCCCCATCCACAAGCTTAGCCCAGCTCTCTCCTGACCCTCTCTGGGTCCATGTCCAAGCAAGGCAGAGGAACTGACTTTCCATCTGATGCTGTCCTTCCATCGGCCCAAGTCAGTCCTCTTTAAGTCTGTGTCCCTCTGGATTAGAAGCAAGAGAGGTGGCATCGAGAGCCCTTGCCACTAGGCGTGAGACCGTGGAGGAAGAACCCAAAAGCAGCGATGTCTTCCTGGCCCCGTGGCCTCTCAGGACTCCAGTTTGATTCCGAGGACCAGATGGGAGACGAGGAGAGGGCCACTGGCCTTCCCAGGTCCGGGGGCCGGGGCCTCTCAATAAACTGTCCTCTTCTGGATTCTTATGCCCTTGCCCCTCTGCTCCCTGCCCTCTGCCAGGTGCAGAAAAGGTGGCTGGTCTCCGCGTGCTCTCCGACCACGGTAGCATTAGCTGAGTCACGCGGCGTGCACGACACATTTGTAGCAGCTCATCTGCCACATACACCGCTTGGCTGATGGAGTCCTCATTGAGTTGTTTTATTACCGTGCAAAGTGGAATAATGTCATTCACCTTGACTATAACCAAGGCTGTGAGACATAATAAACAGAACCTAAACACGCTGCCCTTCGCTCTCTGCCCACGTTTCTGGCCTGCTGACTCTTTGTGCAGAAATGCTTCACATAACACATGGACTCCTCAGGGGAGCACAGGGCCTTGCCCAGCGGAGGCTGGCACGGGGCCAGCCACCAGGAGAGTGATGGCAGAGTGGGCGGAGTTGGGCTCGGGGTGTTTTGGGATGAGCGTGGGGGTGGAGAGTGACTTTGGGTTAGGAGAATGCCTTTGAAACTGTAATAAGCCACACAAACATGAGGTGGTATTTGTATTAGTACCACCTACTGCTTGAAAACGCAGGGA